ATTTTTTTTTTTAATCCATTTTATTCAAAGAGAAAATGAGAGAGATGATGATTCTGAGGCCACCCTATCCCAGCCATATTATTCACATATCGAGTCCCAACAGCAACAGTGTAGGGATGAACACGAAATACTGTAAATTAAATGCTGAATGGCGGTTCATGCAGGAAAAGAACATATCAATATTCGCATATTCATTCAAAAACATGAAAATTCTTAATGGAGTACCCTCATTTTTTATTGAATTCCTAAAAAAAAATATTTATAATGAATTTTAATAATTTTTTCGAATTTTTTTTAAGCTTTATTCTGACCGATTCACCCGATTCCCGATCCGGATCTCCGATTCGCCGATCCGGATAGGTTTTTTGGAAGCCCGATCAGGGGCACCGATCCGTTTTTTAAACCATTTATTTGAACTTTTAGAACCACTAAATAATTTGAATTCAAAATGGGAAAGGTTTTTATGCTTCTCCTACAGCATAAAAGTTCTATCTTCTTCTTATCAAATTTTGATCAAGAGAGCCACTCATCGTTTGACCTTTAGAACCAACGTCTCAAAAGTATTTTATTTTTAGTTTTTTTTTATACAAATTGTATGAATATGAAATTTGGTACATGCCATCTTCTCATTGGGACGTACCAATAAAAAATATTAAAATAATTTTTCGAAAAAATATAATAACCAAAATACCCCTTAAATCCTTCAAATCGTTTTATTTAATTAAAAATATCTTTTGCTAGTATAAGTTTAATAGAAAAATGGACGTCCAATATTAGGTGTCAAAATAATTTATAAAAGAAAAAAAAAAAAGATAGTGTAGAAACATGACATTGTGATCGAGACAATCTTAACCTTCCAATCAAAATGGAGAGTTAGATAAAAAAGAACATAGAACTTCTATGTTGTAAAGGAAGCATAAAAAGCTAGCCCATTTGAAAATTGAGTCTTTTAATTCTGGCCATCTAAAAATTAGACTACCTCCTATTTAATCTTGTGTCATAATTTGTTTTCAAGTGCATAGAAGGGCAATTAGGAATTTTTTCTATTGAAATTAATTCATGGGCTGAAGAAGTCGTGTATCCAAATTTAACATCCTATATTTAATCCTAGGTAGAGTTTTACCCGAGTTCCTTTACAGTACTCCCTAGGAAGTACAGTATCTTTTGATTTCCCAATCTAAAGCCCGAAGAGAAAACAACAACGTTTTCGGACCTTTTGGACGAGGGGTATTTTCGCCACTCAGTTGGGCATACCCGTCATATCCGAAAAGGATAGGGGTAATATGGTGATACAAGGAAGAAAAATTAACAGGGCAAATCAACCTAGGATTCGGCCAGGCGAATTCAGCCGGGAAGAGCAGGAGAAAGAGTAAGCATTTCTTTCACCATCAATTCACCTGTCAGCCCCATGCAACCCATTTAATACCACCTCATAAATAGACACCATCCTAAAATCGCAAAAAAATTCAGAAAAAGGCACCATGGCGCCAAAACTACTACACTGAATATACATAAGACACGAGTGACAAAATTTCCCCGCCGTGTCCGTGTCCGTGTCCGTGTCCGTGTCCGTGTCCGTGTCACCTGAAGATTAAGCTTCACTTTATACAAATAGTCAAAAGAAAAAAGAAAATTAAATAGAACGGAAAAACCATTATTTAGCTTCCTTGTTTTTTTTTTTTTCCTTTTTCTTCAGCAGCTCATAGCCTCATACGTGACGGCCATATGACACCGCGAAAGCAACCCCCCTACGGCCGCTAAATCCCTGCAAAATGCCCCTGAGAAAACCACATTCTCCGGTTTGACCCCAGTAAATCGGCCTCCTGTATCAACCGGGTCCGGAACCGGTTCCTGAACAGCTTGAACTGGTTGCAAGATGGGCTGAACCGCTGCAGCCATGGCACGCTTCCTCTGCCTCTCAGCAGCCTCTTCATCCATAACGCTCGCCATGACCGCCGAATAGGCCTTCTGTAAGAGCCGAAAGAGAAGAAGAGCCGACATTCTGGATTGGTCTCGAACCGTCTCCGCATCACGCTCATCACTGAGTTCCAACCGGTCCACAAATTGAGCCGCCCTGTCCGGTCTATGCCTTAAACACAGGACCAAGTGGGCCCTTTCAACCTCCGACCTGGTGCACCCTCTCCGAACTCCAACGAGAGCATGGTAGTCCACATTTTCACGATAGTCCACACGCCCTTTCATTTCACAAAGCTTGAGGCCCAAGGCCTTTGCCCTAGATGACACGTCACGAATCCCAAACGTGCGAGCCGTACGCCAAGGCTTTCGATCGCCACGTAGTACCGAATCATATAAAAGTTTTAGATGCTCCAGGTCCTGTACCGACTCTGTCATACACCGAACAGACTCGAACAGCTCAGCCCGGGTTGCCAGCGCCCCTATGCTCGTGGGCTCGAGGGCGAGGGCTCGGTTACAGTCCGCAAGAGAGTCAGGAATACGTCCAGCCAACCGATAGGCCGTGGCTCGATGCATATAACACTCGGTAGCGAACTGACTCGGGGTTCCCCGCCTACCATCAACGATTTTTGAGAAGTGGCGAATCGCCTCGGAGTAGAGACCCGCTTCTAGGGCGGCGAGTCCAGCAGCTTTTCTTCGTAACAGGAGCTTGATGTTACATAACATTTGAGTCGATGGCTCAAGCTCGATCGACGGGAAATTCTCGGCCGAGAATTTGTCATCCGAGATATTGCCGCTTTCTCGCCGAAAATTTGCAGAGGCCACTCTTTTCCCAGCTTGTAGAAGAACCATGGCGTCCTCCATTAAACCCAAGTGGAATAGAGCTTGGCCTAATATGGTGTACCGCCATTCCTGCTCCTTGGCGCACCTTTTATATAGTCCGGAGAGGACCTTCTTTTTAAGATCAGAAATTGAGAAGCATTTGAAGGCAGGGTTTTCAGAGTAGTGAGATGGGTTTGTTTCAGAGAGGAGTTTAACCTTCTCTCTAGAGAGAGATTGAGAGGTTTCTGATTCTTGGTTTTCTGAGTATTTGAAGCTTGGAATGTCATCTTGGAGCATGATGGCTATGTCTTTGAAACGCCGAAGATAGAGAAGGGTCCTGGCTTTGAGCTCCATGGCTAACTCCCATTTGGGGTAGAGAGAGAGAGCCGCATCGAGAAGGTTCAGAGCCGTGGAAATGTCAGTTGGGTCTTGAGAGCTTAGAAGGACCCTTGCGTCTTTGAGGTGTTTCTCTGCAACCTGCATTGTAGACAATGAAGTTTCTCTCTCAGGGATGGAGCATTGAAAACCAACAAGAATGGGAAAAACTGCAGCAAAACTATTTAAGAATCAACCTGAAATCTTCCATTTCTTTTTGAAAAAATTATTCCAAATGTTAAAAGTTTGAACTTTGATTCATCAGATGAGGAAAATGAAAATACTTATTTTCTGAACCAGACGCATATAGTATTAATTATAAAATCTCGAGTTTTTCGAATAATATTTACCCAAAACAGAGCATTTCAAATAAAAACCATGCAGAAAATATCATTATAAAAGCCATAAAAAAAAAAAAACCATTTTAAGATTCTAATCATAATGAAACATTATCAGGGCACTCATTAATACAGCTCAAGATCTAGAACTCAAAGCATTAGTACAGTTCAAACAGAAAAAATGGGAGAACAACCATTTAGAGTTTCAAAGATAGATGGACAAACCCCGAAACATTTTTTTCCATCACTGAAGATCTCTAGAGCTATGCATTCAAAACAAACATGAATAATAACGAGAAAAAGAAGAAAGAGGAAGTGAGCTCAATACCTTCTTGTTGCTGAGCCACCAGGGCTTCTTCTCTGCTTGGGAGGTCGGAGAAGACGACATGATGAATCATCAGGGTCTCGAAATCTTCAACAATTGACACCTCTTATTTACATCCATCCATTTCTCTCTCTCCTACCATTCTCTGAGCCTTAGAGAGGGAGAGAGAGAGATTGCACAATGGCACAGGAAAGATCGAGCAAATAATAGAGAGAGAGAGAGAGAGAGAGGAGGG